ATTAGTTCCATAATGTTTTTCTTTCAATTAGCTCATTTTGAAAAAAACTTAGGCAAATGTATTTAAAACAGAAAATTTAAATCACTCACCTCAACTGGAAAGTAACTATCATTTGTCATAAAAGGGAAGTAACCATAACATTAAATACCAGGAAAGCAAAAACAAGATTCTTGAATTCTAGTTAAATCCTGTTTCTTGCTGAAAGCTCTGAGCTGAGCCCTGCTCTCTCTTCCTTAACAAGTGCAGTGTTAAAGACACAGAGGCTGTTAAATGAGATCTTCCTCCCCAGTAATTGGAGGAACAGGAAGAAAATAAAAAAGAAATACATGTATCATGATATGATCCAATGTTATGTAATGTTTAGCGTCTAAACATTACATCTGGCATCTACCATTGCTGTACATATATATTTTGGAAAACACTGAGCTCATCCAAATTTCTCTTCCTATTTTATTTATTTATTTATTTATTTATTTATTTATTTATTTATTTATTAAAGATTTTATTGGGGAATTGGGGGAGGGAACAGTGTTGGGGAATTGGGGAAGGGGAGCAGACAAGTTGCTGTCCTTTTGTTCTTCAATCTAGTTGTGAAGGATGTCGCTTCACTGGCCCATGTTGGTATTATGATCATTGTGCTCTTCCCGGTTAAGGCAGATCAGTTGCAGGTCATTGGACGGTAACTCACAGCGGCTCACAGCAGCTCACACCAACAACCTCTCACGCTGGCTACTGGCCACTCACGGTAACTTATGGCAGCCCACTGCAGCCCCACTGCAGCCTACGCCATCACCGGTGACTCACGGGCAGCCCAGCTCCAGGTCGAGCTGTTGTTCACCATCTTAGCTGTAGAGGGCGCAGTGTCCAGCCCATGTGGGATCCAAACCGGGGCCCCGGTGCTCAGAGCTCGTGCTCCCAAGCCAGCTCTTAACCAACGTGCCACTCGGTTGGCCCCGTTTCCTATTTTACAGATAAGAAAACTAAGGCTCCAAAAGAGGAGGTGACTTGCCCACAATCTCACAAGGTCAGTGGCTTCAGCCAGACCTAGAATCTAACTAGAATCTTTCCAAGGCATTGTTTCACTTACATGGGAGAGAACATAAAGATGAAAGTTTTAAGGGCACCAGTGGTAGAATTTCAGGCATGTAGCAATCACTAGTGACACGTGGGTGGAATGGTAGGAGGCAGGTGTGGCTCCTATCACAGCAGCCCACAGACCCCTACCTCCTCTTGTCCCTTGGAGCACAGCCCTCCAACTTCCTCCCCTCAGTGCTGAGGGCCAGAGACTGGGCTTATCAGAACTGCAGCAAATGGTAATGCAGCCTGCTTGGCTCAGACACCTGGGTAGAGACTGTTCTGAGCCTGGAGAGAAGAGAATTCATAAACGCGGAACTCTCCAGGAAAAGTGCACATTTTTGCATTTAATCTGGGGGGGTTGGTCTCCATTTATTTTCTCACTTTTTAACAAACGCTTATATAGCATTTATATTCCAGGCACTTCACAAATATTGTCATTTAATCCTCACAACAAACCAATAAAGTAGGTACTATTATTATCCCCATTTTACAGATGAGGAAACTGAGGCACAGAGCGCTTAATTAAGTAATTTACCCAAAATTTCACCACTTGGAATTAGTAAGAATCAAACCCAGGAAATGTGGTTCAACTATGACACTAGGCTGCCTCAGTGCATTTAATCCTTAAGACTGCAATGCAAGGAAAGTATGATTAATCCCATTTTATAGATGCAGAAACAGAGGCTTAAGGCTATTTGGCATCTATGTTGTAGACCCGACACTCTTAATTTCTTTGCTGAACTCCCTGGACCATATGTCAGGAATTCTTCGTCTAGGGTTGTGCTACTCAATATGGCCACATGTGGCTACTGAGCATTTAAACTGTGGTTAGTGTGACCAAGGAACTGAATTTTTCATTTCATTGAATTTTAATTTTAAAATAGGTAACATATTTTTTTTCATTAAATACAGCTTAAGTTTTTAGTAGGACAACATTTTACTTTAACCATTGACAATTTAGCTTCCATGCTGATTTGTGTCCAAACTAAGTATAAAATACACACCAGGTTTTTGTTTTTGTTTTAAAGATTTTTATTGGGGAATTGAGGGA